GGAGAGTGAGGACTGCGCACCCCCTCCTCTGACACCCCCTGTCAGATCACTCACCCTGTGACTCTGCACAGAGCCTGACTGGAGACGATGGCATATTGTAGAGGCACATCTCTGAGTGACAGCGTTCGCCACCTGAGTGGCTCTGCAAGGATCCCCAAGGATCAGACGTTTTTTAAACTCCCTGACAAAGAAAAAGAATGCGGTCTGCGCGCATCTTGCTCCTCCACTGGGGAAGGAGACAGAAATGAGACACTGACTCCAGCAAGAGAGCCGCCCTTTCACACTCAAATCTCTGATTAGTCTTTCCGAACCCGGGTGCAGCCCGTTAGAGCAGGGAGAGGTCAGGCTGGCACTCCAGGGCCAAAGATCAAGGGTCGCCAGTGTTGTTGTCGCCCGATGGACCTCTTTGTAGCGACTGGAGTGTCCGATGTAGAGACTCCAGGCGGTACCAGGGTGACCACGGGCCGGGTTTCGCCGGCGGTGCTGGCCCAGACTGCGGGGGGGTGGCGGCTGCAGGGTTTGTTACAGTGAATGGATGATTTTCGAGCGCTGCCTGGGGTCCCCCAGGTGTGCCTCTGTATGTAGAGAGAAGGATGTAGGCCTTAATTAGGAATGCACCGAGGGGAGGAGAGCCAGGTTATTAGTGTGCCCTGAATAGAATAGAAACGAGAGAGAGGAGGAAGAGAGGGAGGGAGGCGGGCGAGCTGGAGACGGTTAAGGGGGGGGTGAGGAGAGGTCCCCGTGCCGAGAAAATAAGGATGCTGCTTCCTAGCTCGTCCACGGAGAAGCAAGCACCAGCAGGGTCCAGAGAGGACAGGAGCATCTCGAGCTCCGGCTTGGAAAACCTGAGGATACAGGGGTGCAGTCTGGGGCCGGTTCTGGGGTTCGGTCTGGGGGGGTGGGGTGGCGATGACATTTAGGTGTCTGGTGAAGGTGGAATTGGGGTAATGGGTAGATTTCAGGTGAAAGTTGATTGAGATTAGCAACAGGGCTAAGTGTGGGGAAGGGTTTGAGAATCAGGCATGGGGTGACGCTCGGTTAATTTTAGGGTTGTGCCCATGACCCTTCCCCCCCTTCTTCATTTCCGGATGTCATGTTTGATGAATGCCCTCCTCCCCCCCCCCTGCACTGCTTCCTCTCTCTCCGTCTCGTCATTCCCTCTCCTGTTCCCGGAGCCTGCCAGCCTAGCCCGAAATAGAAACGTTTGGAGAAAAGAGGAGGGGAAAAAAAGACCAGTGAGCGAGAGACAGAGAGGAGGAGGGTGGGACCGGGGGCGAGGCAGGGGCCCCTTGGTGTCGGGCGTGATGTATGGCAGTGAGGAGCCAGGTAGCGTCTGGAGTGCGCACCGGCGGCACGGAGAAGGTCAAATTAGCATCACAATGTGGGCTGCTGGCTGCGGGTGCTGATGCTGTTGCTGGGAGACCACCAGGGCAACACCTGAAGGATGGCAGCGGAGGTGTGAAGTTGGGCCCGGGTCTGTCTCTTTCAGGCCCTTCCCTTTCTTTCTTCATGTCCTCCATCCTCCTTCTTCCTGTTCCCTCGTTCTCAGCCCTCCTGTCTCTCTCTCTCTCATTTCCACTCCTCCTGTCTCGGCGCCTGCCTCTCCCTTCCACCCCCCCTTCTCCCTCTGTCTGCACTTCTCTTCCTCTCCCTCCTCCTCTCCCATTCGCACCTCTCTCCTCTCCCTGTCTGTTCCTGTGTTTCTCTCCCTCTCCCTCTCTCCCATTCGCACCTTGCTCCTCTCTGTGTCTTGTTCCTTGTCTCTCTGCCACTTGTCTTCACACCTCTCCTCTCTCTCACACTCCCTCTCTCTCCCTCTCTCTCAGTTTCTCTCGCCAATGGCTGACCTCAGTGTCTCCAGGTCTCAAGCTAATGTGTCCGGCGCAGTGCAGGCTGAGCAGCTCGAGACTCGCAGGCCGGGGGTTCGTGCTCGAGTCGGGGGGGGCAGTCTGAACAGTCGAGGAGAAGGGGGAGTGGGGTGGTGCCGGGGTGGTAGGGTGACTCCGCTGCTCCTCCAGTAAAATGCTCGGCGCTCTGCTGTCTCCTGATTCGGGGTGACCTTGTTTACAGAGAAGTATCCCAGCCTGCCTCTCTCCTGGCTGGCACAGTGACACAGCGCTGTCACTGAGCACGACTCAAACACACTCGCAGCCCAGGGGCAGGAATGGGGCTGAGAGTCCTCACACCGACGCACACTCTCACACACAGCCACACACAGCCTGGGGGCCAGGCTACAGGCACACACACACATACACAGTAATGCCCATTCTCCACACTTCTGTACATACATGGATGTTGGGTCTTTTTCCTAATGTGTTGTGTCTGCTATGCCCTGGTGCGGGCTTGTGCTCGTCAGCACTAACGACCAATTTATCTCTCTCTACCCCATTCCTTCTCTCCTCGTCCCTCCTCCAATCCCTCTCCTCCTTCCCCGTCCGTCTCCTTCCCTTGCTCTAGGTTCCTCCGGCAACACCACCCACGCAGGAGGCCGAGGAGCAGCGGGAGGGGCGGCGGGCAGGGGCGAGAACGGCCCCCTGTCCACCTCCAACATCCCCATCATCGCCGGGGCGGGCGGGGGCTCGGCCTTCCTGCTGCTGGTGGCCGTGGTGATCGCCGTGGTGTGCTACCGGCGCCGGCAGGCCAAGCACTCGGACACCCACCACCCGCCGCTGTCCCTCTCCACCCTCACCAGCCCCAAGCGGGGCGGCGGGGGCAACAACAACGGCTCGGAGCCCAGCGACATCATCATCCCGCTGCGGACTTCCGACAGCGCCTTCTGCCCCCACTACGAGAAGGTCAGCGGGGACTACGGGCACCCCGTCTACATCGTGCAGGAGATGCCGCCCCAGAGCCCCGCCAATATTTATTACAAAGTATGAGGGCGGAGCCCCGCCCATTGGCCCCGCCTCCCCACCTGTCCCCTCCCCTTTGTTAGGGGCGCCTTCGTCAGTCAGAGCGTCGACAGACCCTCCCCACCCCCCGCACCCCCAAGGTGGGGCTTTTTTTAAAACTCGCACATATAAGAAACGGGACAGTAGACCGCGGCCCTCCCTCTACGCCTTTCGATTTGCTTTAAAACGTCTTGATGTGATCGACACTATTGTAGAGTATAAGAGTATATATATACATGTCTGTTCCTCTTTTTTTGGCGGCCGAACCGTACACTGTGTTAAGGGCGGCTTCTCCTTTTAACATCGGCGGCGGCGGTGGTGGTGTTGGGGAGGGTAGGGTGTTATTACCCACCCCACTCTCTCACCAGTCTTTCCCACCTGTCAGTTTTTGGGGTATTTGTGACAAAGCCGTCGCCTGGGGGGGGGGGGGTCGATTCTCCCGCCTGTTGTTATTTTTTGTTGTTGTTGCGTGTGGTGCTGCTGTAGAGGAAAGAAACGACCTGTGTGTGAAGGGATGAGTGGAACCGCCCTTGCCCCGCCCACTCGGCGCCACGCCCACTGTAGCTCCGCCCCTCTCCCCGCCCCCGCCCCCGCCCCCTGGAAGGGCACTGCATTGGCAGTCTGGCAGCTGGACAGAGAGACGCTGGGGGACAAGGCGCGGTGCCGCGTAGCCCAAGAGGGCGGGCGAGATCAGGAAGGAACTGAAACAGGACGGAACAAGAGACAGAGCGGAGAAGACAGAGGATGGACGGGTCCCCCCAGGTTTCTGAGCGGACAGCACGTGCCTTGTGGGATTTATCAAGGAGGTCCAGGAAACAGTACTCCCCGGGCCTTGCAGGGAAAGCAGGACACGGAGGATTGCTGGGCGATTGGAGGCGAGGGATAATCACTCCAAGACTTGAAATGCCCCCAACTCCCGTATATATCAGTCCTGGAAAACAAAATCCTGGATTCGATCAGGAATTGTGAGGAACTGAGGGGGGGGGATAATATGTCTCTTTGTTTTTCCTTCTCTCTGGAACTTTTGAACAGGTATTTGTGCATCTTGACACTAACATTTTTATTCACAAACTCACTTTCACACTCGGCATTCACATACATACACACTCTCACACATACGTACACACACTGTCACACATTCTTTTACACTTACGTACACACTCACGATCTCTCACACACTCTTTCACACTTATGCACACCCACACCATCTTTCACACATGCACAAACTTTTACATTCAAGCACACACATGCGCACTATCTCTCACTCTTTTTTACAGTTATGTACACACACATGTAAACACTCTCTTTCACACTCGCCACTCACACAATCTCTCATACTCTCTTTCATGCTTATGCACACAAACCTTCACACTCACACATGTACACACTGCGTCACACATACACTCTCTTTCATACTCTCATGTACTTTCACTCGCACACAACTAAACACCCACCTCACTCACATGTACACATATGTGCCATTCATACTTTCTCAAAAGCATTCACACCTCACACACTGACACACTCGCCCATTGCACACACTAAGTACCTGTACACTCATACATACAGACAATCTCACTTTCACTCTGTTTCACACTCTCACACAAATGCACAATTCTGTGTCAAGTCATCGCTTTCCACAACTTCTGAATGCACATCCCGGAGAACAACAGGAAGATCCAGCCTGGAAACGGATACGGATTTCAATCCGTTTCTCCTTTTCGGATCTTTTGATATGAATTCTGTTGTGTTCTTTTTGTTCCGGGCGTGCTTGTTTCTTTGTTTTCTTGTTTTTTTTTCTATTTCAAAATGAAAACCCAAAACACACGAGACACAGTTCAGTTTGGACAGATTTAAAAGTCCCTGGTTCAGGATGTACTTTGCTTGGTTGTGTCATATTTAGTTGTTGTTGTTTTTTAAATAAATAAACCAATAAAAGGTGTAAACAAGTTCTGTACCCCAGTGGATCTGTAATAAGGGACTGCTCTAGGCTAGCATCCATGTTAAACACACAGAGAGGGACACACTGTGATATACTACACACAGACACAGTGACACTACACAGAGTGATACACCAAGACACACTGCACACAGAGACACGGTGACACTACACAGAGTGATACACCAAGACACAGTGCACACAGAGACACTGTGACACTACACAGAGAGATACACTGAGACACACTGCACACAGAGACACAGTGACACTACACAGAGTGATACACCAAGACACTGCACACAGAGACATGGTGACACTACACAGAGTGATACACCAAGACACACTGCACACAGAGACACTGTGACACTACACAGAGTGATATACCAAGACACACTGCACACAGAGACACGGTGACACTACACAGAGAGATACACTGAGACACACTGCACAAAGAGACGCACTGAGACACAGTGCACATAAGGAGAAGGACACACTGAGACATACTGCACACAGAGACTGTGCCATTACGCGGAGAGATACACTGAGACACTGCACAAAGAGAAAGATACTGTGATATACTGCACACAGAGACACACTGTGACACTACACAGAGAGATACAGTGAGACACAGCACAAAGAGAGACACATTGTGACACAGTGCACATAAGGAGAAGGACACACTGGGACATACTGCACACAGAGACACACTGAGACAGATACCCACGCACACACATACACACACTTAAAGCCAGAACTCTGCTTGGCAGCCCAGTCTCTGCAGGGCTCTCCCTGTGACTTCCAAGAGTCTCCAGGTGTGGGAAAGCATAGTTAACAAGCAACTGAGACCAGTTACCTAAGAAACAATCTCTTCATCTATAAATTTAAACACACACAGAGCCGATCCTGAGAACTCTGAGGAGGGGTGAAGTTTGTTGGCATTTGGGAGGGAGGACTAAATATCACGATTTAGTAAAAATAGTTGGACTGTCTGTTTCCTGCAACAGGACAGCCAGGTCCATTGCCTGGAAAGCCACTCACACCTGTGTGTGTAAGAGGGGGAACTCATTGGACAGACAGGTCTTAATTATTACTGTACCCTCCTCTAGGTTTGTATTAATAAAAACACATTGTTGTGTTGCATGTTCAGATATTTTTTCCATGGGTGACACTGTGGTGTGGTCAGAGCTACTGCAATACTCCAGGGTCCTGGGTTTGATCTCTGGGGCTGGGGCTCCTGTCTGTGTGGAGTTTGCATGTTCTGGGTATTCTCCAGTATGTTCCCAACCTCCCACACACACACGTGCTGAACACTAAATAGCCTTTTACAGGGTGTCCAGTGCAGGTCTTGGGGGGTCAGTGTGTCTGCAGGGTGTCCAGTCCTGGTCCTGGGGGGGTCAGTGTGTCTGCAGGGTGTCCAGTCCTGGTCCTG